TTTTTTTTGACGTGACAACGTCTTAAATTAGGTTGCGGCTGGGAGTCACTTATGAAAAAGTGTAACGCTCGGTAACGTTACGATGAGTCACCGAACGAGAGAGAGGCCCGCCGAATGCCTTGCGTCTCTCTCCCACTCAACTATGATCGGTCTGCCGCGCGCGCAGCACTAGTTCATTCAATTCCTTGTTCCTATTGTGCAATTTAATTATATTCATATCAATAAATATTCTACCGAGAAAAAGACGTTGTCACGTAAAATCTTCGCCCGTAAAAACGACTTTACAGGCAACCATTTTTTTATCTTACTAACATTTTTCTTACTTCGTCCGCGTGGAATATTATTCCTGTTTTATCCCATGGGAGCATTTAATCGGGAGATAAGTATCCTATCATGTAAGTCAGCCCATACCCTGCCTGTATATCAAATTTCATCAAAATCCGTTCAGTAGTTTCAGTGTGATTGATCGATTGATTGAATCATCCAAACAAGTCGCGGAGAACCTAACGGGTAACCGGGGCTCCACGTGCAGGAGAAGGAACGGGGTGGTTTTTAGTCAGTAAGAGTCTGACACTCCCTCCCGTATGTATCAGTTTATTACATTCATGCACAAATACGCTACATATTTGTGCATGAATGTAATAAACTCTAAAACTAATTTGAGGAAGATATAGAGATGATTTATTATGGTTTTGACCACGCCGGCGATGCTACGAACAGATGGCTAATGTTAGTTAAAGTTTGATAGCTATTCGCCATTTGGATTAGTCGTCATTTGCTTAAATTTTACTTGTATAATCAAAAGAAAAGAAGTAGCCTATGTTTCTCTTCAGCCTCCTAACGCTTCGGACATGAAAATTAACATAACATAACATTACGCCTTTATCCCCGAAGTGGTAGGCAGAGGTGCACATTACGCCACTGTAAAATGTAACACCCACTTTTCACTATTTATGTTATATGAGTCCCATGTAATAAGGGGTGAGCTTATTGCCATATACCGGGCACAATTTCAGACTCCGTGGTACTACTAAGGTTTTTTTAAAAACCCTATAATACTTTGCCAGACCCGGAAATCGAACCCGAGACCCCTTGCCCACACACACACTTGCGACCAACGAGGCAGTCGATTTTTATTTTTTACAATTTTTAAAGTTAATATCACAAATGAATGTTATTTGCAGAGGAGACATGCACCACCCTGGCGACAGTCAGATCGGCGAGATAGATCTACGGTACGGCGGAGTCAAACATACAGACGGACACTTCAACTTTACTACACCATTCAAACGACTGCCTTGGCTCAAGTCTATATTTGATGTAAGTCGTTTTTTTTTTAATAATATAACCTAAATCGCTTTAACTTGATTAGTAAAATTTGTATAATTTGGACGTGAGTTCGAATCTCGCTATCCAAAAGAAATAAAGGTAATATACAGTTTAATCACTGACCTGAACAAATAAACCTCAACTGATTTCAAGCCATACCGGGGTTTATAATAAGCTACGGCGATGGCAACCAACATCACATATCAACAGTGCACAAAATGAAATGCACTTTTTATGTAGTCATAATAGTTGGTTTTCAGCAAGTTCAGCACCATTTAATAATATATAAGTCTCACTAGATATTTCTTATACATAATTGTAGAGAAAACACATATTGTGCACAACTATCTTAACGATTGAACCCTTTTTTTCAACAGATTAACAACTTAGAAGAGACCTCAGATAACAAAGTGAATCTATTCTGGCCGAACAAAACAGCGTCAGTGAACACCACACACCGCTACCATAAGAAAGACAAAGGCTTCACACAAAACGGCGAAATATCACTTTCCGTTCCATTGAGCCGTCAGCATATCGTCAACACAGAATATTACTACATACAAGACGATAAAACCAGCAATGGAAATGCTACAATTGATTTTGATCGCGAACGATTCGTCAAAGGCTCCTTCGATCAGATTCTCAGTAAAAGTGAAAGGAATTTAGACCTTGCGACTATGAATATAGAGGTGGAAAACGTTCATACGCCTGTTGGTATTAAGTATATACATGAGTATGATAATACTGGGAATATTGTGAGTATATTTTTATTTGTTTTGATATTTTTGTATTGCTGTCCTTTTCTAATAGGTGGAAAAGAACAGCGCTATTTTGCTATAGGTACTTAGCTTTCATTGAATAAAGTTAAAAACTAATTATTTGAATTCTTTTTCGTGCAAATAAGAATAAAGCATTTCATTACATTTCTCCCTTTGATCGATTGAGATAAACGACAAAAGGTAAAGATTTATTTTTTTATTCAGAAATACTTTTGATAAGTTACTCGGGGACTTTATTCGTTTATTCTACCTAGTATTTAAGAATAAACCCATTAATTCCCGAAAAGAGTATGCAATATATGTACTGCTACTGGAGCCTTAGTACGAGTTTCATTTACGTTTAAAATATTCGAAACGAGTATGCGTTCGGCGCTCTGATTGGCCGGCGCCAATGAACCAACCAATCAGAGCGCCGAACGCGTACTCGTTACGATTACTTTTAGCGTAAAACAAACTCGTACTAAGTCCTCTGTGCTCCCATTTTTTCGAAATATTGTTTGAAAATGTATATAAAACTCCCTTTGTCCCCCAGGACGTAAAACAAGCAACAGTCTTCCACTTGCACAACGCAACGAAATTCAACGTCACCGGTAAACTGGACATCTATACCTATGACATCGGAAAAGATCTCAAACTCACTGCTATACATGGCAATCGGACGTGGACCTTCGACAATAAGTACGAGGCGGTGGACAAGGAGTTGAAACAAGGGTCTAAGATCAAATGGGCTGAAGATGTTTGGTTCAACTACGATCTACATGTCACTAATATGACTACGGTAAGTGATGTGTTTAAAACTGCATGATTTTTTTTTTTATGGAATAGGAGGCAAACGAGCAGACGGATCACCTGATGGTAAGCGATCAGCGCCGCCCATGGACACCCGCTACACCAGAAGAGTCACAGGTGCGTTGCCGGCCCTTTACGTCCCGTAACGCACATGTAACGCCTCTGGCGTTCCAGGTATCCATGAGCGTCGCCGATTGCTTACCATCAGGTGATCCGTCTGCTTGTTTACTGGCTTATGCCATAAAAAATAATAGCGTTTTAATATTTGGACATAAGCCGATAAAAGGACTTAGCTAAACATACCTAATATCACGAGAGATATAACACAAGAATTGCTTCTAGAACCTGTTAAAAACTGAATGTTACATTAAATAAATACTCCTTTCAGCAAATTTAAAGATTATCTTACTATACACAGAATATATACACATCTTACTAATATTATAAATCAGAAAGTGAGTTTGTTTGTTTCTTCCGATTTCACGCCGTAACTACTAAACCGATTGCTTTGAATTTTTGCAGACGTAAAGTTAGAAGTCTGGATTAAATAATAGGGTACTTTTTATCCCGGAAAAATTTGGTATTCCCGAGGGAAAACAAAAGTATTGGTATAGATACTTTTTATCCTTTTGTGACGCGAGCGAAGCCGCGGGTAAAAGCTAGTACACAGAATATACACAGAAGCTGTACATTACAATATTCAAATCTTTTCATCTTTCCACAGGACGAAACCGAGTCCCAACAACTAGTAATGAACGTATGGTACCCACTACGTACATTCAACTTGGTAGCATTATACAATTTGCAAGACACTTTACTCGATGGTTCAGCGAAATTGCACTGGAATGTTAAAGAAGAGAATAAGACGGCCGAGTTAAGAGGTCGCTGGGAGAACCCTCCCGTACCTGAAGGGAACTTGCATCATGTGGACTTGTCGCTTGCTCATCCTTCGTTTAGAAAGGTAAGGAGTAGAAATTAGTTAAAAGGACATTTTTTTTCGAGGATATGGATTGTTCTATTATCTCTGCCTACCACAAAGGGATGTTTGAGTCACGCATTAGTGTGATATCTATGGATTGTTTTGTTGATTAAGTGGTGGATAATGTGACTCGAGTTCGATTCTCGAGTGAGTAAAAAAGTATTGAGTTTTTTAGGTATTTACCTCATTAGTTTTGTGATAAATTTGATTTTTCTTAATAGTGAGCAAACTTTCTCGGCTTCGATTACTGTAGTTTTAAACAGAATGTATTTGAGCAGTTAATTTTTTAAAATATTGAGCATTTAACGTAGTGCTAAGATTTATAAGTAGTTGGATCCAGAAAACCTATTATACCATTGAACATATACCAAAAATGAAATACAAATTATTCTAAATTCATCACCAAAAGTTACAATAACCTATGTCAACCTCTTTTCACAGGACGTAACCCTAAAAGGTCAATACTTATCAACACCATCAGTGATGTCGAACGTCTCCCTAGAACTGCAATACTCCGACTATGAAAATGAATACCTGCAACTGAACTCCATTTTAACGGACAACTCAAATGGCCCAGTGAGGGACTACAAATTCGCACTAATTTGCAAACATCCTTCCACAAATCTGGACTTGGATATGAAGTCTGATATAAATATAAGGAGTCGCTGGTATTACTTTAACAACTTCTACAGGTTCCAGAAGTCTCTTTTCTATCAGAAAATGAGGCAGAATATGTTTTTGATTGATACCGCTAACAGCGCTGTGCATTGGGAGGTGAGTGTGTGTTTGACTTAATTTTAGCTTTTTTCTTTGAATGTTAAATTAATTATATGAGCAACTGCTAAGCAAGAAGTGGTCGAATTCCTAAAACAGAAAACGTGTAAAGTTTTCAATGAAACAAAATATTAGACCTTGGCCTTTAGCCAAACACCACTTTAGCGCTTGTCTACTGAGAGAGAGTAGAAAACTAAATGTATGAAGATGACAAGATAAAACTCAATTCCATATAATTTGATTTTCTATTTCATATTCTACATACTGCTTAATATACAAATAATATTATTAAGCCTTAATTCAGATAAACGTTGTTTTTTCATGGGAGAAAGAAGTTCATTTATGTAGTTTGTTCATGTATATTTTACCATATACTGCCTCGTTGGCCGAGTGGTCGCAAGTGCGACTGCCAAGAAGTCTCGAGTTCGTTCCTGGGTCGGGCAAAGCATTACTGGGTTTTTAAAAATTCTCAGTCGTAGCACAGAGGCTGGAATTATGCCTGGTATATGACAATGGGCTCACCCCCTATTACATGAGACTTATAACATAAATAGTGAAAAGTGGGTGTTTCATTGTACAGTGGCATAATGTACATCTCTGCCTACCCCTTCGGGGATAAAAGGCTTAATGTTATATTATGATGTTATGTATATTTTACCAATATTATTAAATTAAAGTTATGTACTATATAAATTATGAATTGCGGAAGACTGACATAAAATGGAGCCCCTAAAGCACTAGTGCTGCCATCTACAGTCCCCTAATTTTCCGTTATTTTCAGCGTGCAAACGAGACATATTTCTACAAAGTGAACGGTACATGGGAACTGTTATATCCGGACTATACACTGAAGACGTTCGTCAGTCGCTCCACGGGTAACGATACAGGCACTGCGACACTGTCTATGAAGAACAAATCTTTTGTTGCGCATTATAATAGTACTGATGGTAAGTTGTTTTGAATCTTTTGTTATTAAGAATAGGGTCTATAATTTTGGTGCAGTCAGAAAGGTTTATAATTTTTACTTAAAAGTTGTTGTTCGAGTCGTTACAAGCGATATCGAGCAAGGGGTCTTGGGTTCGATACTGGAGTCAATAAAAGTATTTTAGGGAACAGAGAGTATAGTTCCCTAAGATCGGAAAACGAGGATCCTCCGACCAGGCGAGGTCATCGTGCCTGGCGGGCTTTCTGCCCAACAGTTGTTCGTTGGGATTTTCTATCCATATTTATTCGCTTGTAAACTTTGCATGTGCGATGTAGGATTCTTGTGACGTCATCCCTTGATTTGTAACGTGATATGTGTCGCCACAGTATTATTGAGTATTTTTCGGTTTTTCGAGAAATCTTGTAGTAAGCAAATTGTGGCCGGTGTAAGGTGTAAGGCTCAGACCCATTGGACACATAATTGTCGAAAAAGGTGTATTACATTTAATAATATTATGTTCACATTCTAATTTCTTCCAGACATCTCGTACCACATGGTGGGCCAAATCGTCGACACTAGATACGCTAAATTCGACTCCTGGCGTAACTTCGATGACGTCATAACTGTCGACCTAGCCTCCTACATACGTCTCAACCACTCTCGACTGCTAACCAGCTCAATTAAATGGCGACCAGAAATTTTCACCGAAGTTAAGTCCCAAGCGGTATCCACACTCAAACTTTTGTATAGCCAAGTTAATGATACCCTTATAATAATGAAGGAAATGCCTATGGAAGCTCATCTGGCTCTAAAGAACATTTGGACGGACGCCAAACCGAGGATCAGAGACTTTTTGGACGACCTAAATGACCTCCATGTGATAAAGGACGATTTGGACGAGTTCGAGCGATTTTTGAACCAATCCTATAGCCAAAATGATTTTTACGTTAAAGATATTGTGGAGTTCACTTATTATGTACTAGATGAAATGGCTATAAGGAATCATTTGGAGAGTTTACCGGGCATTGTTAATGATATGTGGGGAATGATGGGCAACACAAGCCAGTCGATAAAGCAAAGTTTGACGTACATAGTGGATTCCATCAAAAAGGCGTATGCAAACTTCTTGGAGTCTGTCAACAAGGTATTGGAAGCTGATTTCATGGAGTTGGTGTCTGATAGATTGGAAGCGATGATTCTGCAGTACGATAACTTTATAAGAGATCTCCATATGAAGTTTTTGGAGTACTGGGAGGAGACTTGGGTGAATGCCACTAACAGGCTTTCTAAGTATTGGCATGAAGTCCTAAAGTCGATTGAGCCGTTGTTCTTCAAAGTGTTGCATTATAGTGAGTCGTTTGTGTTCGCTGTGGGTAAGAACGTCATGGATTTCTTCTACAATAGGACGCAGGAGTTGACTGACTCGCCTTATTTCAATTATGTGTCGACGTTCGGACATGAGATGGATCGGTAAGTGGTTTTTTTTTAGGATTTAAAACTTATCAGTAGTCATCATGTTTGTTTGGCTCGCAAGTGCGACCGCCTAGCCAAGTTCTTGGGTTCAATTCCCAAGTTGGGCAAAGATTTTTTTTTATTTCTGATGATAACAAAATGCTTAGACTTACAATTACTCGCCTCGTACTCCATAGTAAATAAGCCTAAGTATAAAAACTCAACACTACATTAAACTTTGTCGGGTCAAACATATTAATTTTATCCATTTTATCTCATTACAAACTCAACCATACCACCCTTAATCACAAATCTCATTTTCCAGCATCTACAAGGACCTAATGAACAACGATTTAATCACCAATATAAAGAAATATAGCAAGAAGCTCTTCAACTTCGTTTGGTCAAAGATAGAGAAGTATATTCCGTTCAAAGACGAGTTCACACAACTGTATGCGGAGTTCAGGAACGCGTGGGAGAACTTCTTGAAGACCAAGCAGGTCGTCTACGTTAGGGAGAAGGTAGGATTTTGTACTTTATTTTCTTTGGGATTGGGTTACATTTTAATTGTTTAGGTACCCAAGTACTTTATCTTTGTTTTACATATGTCTAATGGAGAGTTACTGAAACTGAACAGGTACTGAAAATAGAAAACTGTTGACTGTCTTGTTGCTTGAATAGTTGCAAGCGTACGTGCGTACAGTCTCAGATTCGATTGCCGAGTTGGCCAAAACTATAGGTTTGAAGTTTTCTATGGTAATGGACTTCACGTATATTAAATAAAACTTAACTATCGAAAAGTGTTACATATCTATTTCTTCGTGGAAGAAAAAAAGCGATTACTTGTCTTAAAAAAGTCTTATATTCGTCGTCATATCATAAGTGATACATATATTATGTATAACCTTATTTTAAAGTACAAAACGGCACGGCACGGCGGCTTAACAACCGGCGGCCGCGCAACGTGTCGCGGGTTCGATTCCCGCACGCAGCAACTCTTTGTGTGATCCACAAATTGTTAACGTTTATAAAAAAAATAGTTTTAATTTTTTTTTAGGTTTCTGTACCATTTGTAATATTTGATTTCCTGTTACGACTGTTTGTAGAGGGTATTGATAAATAAATATCTTTCTTACAGTACCAAGAAGCATACGTGCGTCTGAAGTGGTGGTATGATTACTTCTTGATCGGCGAGGCGCTGGAGACAGTCGGCGAGATACTGTACGCCAAACTTACCGACATGTCCAAGACTGCACTGCAGTATGAAGAGCTGTAAGTTTACTTAATGTTTATCCTAACATCACGCCTTTTATCCCCGAAGGGGTTTTTTTTTTAAGGGGGAAAAATCATCGAATGACTTCTCCCGCCTGGGTGAGGCGGGAGGGAGTGTCAGACTCTTACTGACTAAAAACCACCCCGTTCCTACACCTGCGCTTCGAGCCGGAGCCCCGGTACATTCCCGAAGGGGTAGGCAGAGGTGCACCATTACGACACTTAATGCCACTGTACAATGTAACAATTACTTTTCACTATTAATGTTATGAGTCCCATGTAATAGGGCGTAAGCCTATTGCCATATACCGGACACAATTCCAGATTCCGTGCTACTACTGAGATTAAAAAAAAACCAGTAATACTTTGTCCGAACCGGGAATCGAAACCTAGACCCCTTGCCCGGCAGTCGCACTTACGACCACTAGGTGAAAAGTGTTTTTTATGGGATAACCCGGAATTGAACGAGCAGACGGAAATCACCTAATGGTCACCGGCCTTTTCGAATTAAGAATTTGACGATTGTTGGTGATTCGGGGACTGGGGATAGGGGGAGAGGCCAATGGAGAGGTAAATGGCCCTCCAGTAACCTCACTCACACGACGAAACACAACGCAAGTGTGTTTGTTTTGATTTTTAATAGAGATTATGAAATAAGGACATGGAGCTTCAGTGGTTAAGTGGTCCTAACTACAACTATTTTGGTTTCGTTTCGAATAGTTAGCGGGACGGGTATAATTTATTACATTCTATTCGAGTTCTTGAAATTTTCTCAGTGATGCAGTCGCATATAGTCTATAGTCTATACATTTGTTCTGTCGCGGAAAACCTAACGGGTAGCCGGGGCTCCGGCTCGACGTGTAGGAGAAGGAACGGGGTGGTTTTTAGTCAGTAAGAGTCAGACACTCCCTCCCGCCTCACCCAGGCGGGAGAAGCCATTCGATGATTTTCCCCCTTAAAAAAAAATACTAGTTCTACGGGCTAATACTAATAAAAAATGAAACACTATATTTTTAATTACCCCCAAACAGGATTAACGAACAATATTGTAACTTCTAAGTCCTCTTTCAGACATCGTACACCAAAAACGAACTTCATATTCGATCCCCGAGTCGGTGCCATTCTCCTAGAACAGAAGCTACCGATGTCTTGGCACGCATTCAACCGTACGCCAGATTTTACTGAAATATCTGAATACCGCGCCGTGAAGGACTTTATGGACGAATGGTTGAACACTAACAAGAGTATCTGGTCGTTCTATTATGATATTAGACCTTATATGGACTTTGATAACTTGATGCCACCTTTTGCTGGTAAGTTCTTTTGCTTTAGTACTGTTTTTTTTGCTATTGTATCGTTATAATTATGATGGTATATACTGCACTAGCGACCTGCCCCTTCGCACGGGTGCAATAAGCATGTATTATACATATAAACCTTCCTGAAGAATCATTTGATCTATTAAAAAAACCGCATCAAAATCCGTTGCGAAGTTTTAAAGATCTGAGCATACATATGGACGGACAGACGACGGATAGCGACTTTGTTTTATACTATGTAGTGATTCCTAGAATTTCTGCAATAAATTAGAAACTATGTCAGTATTTATTCAGTCATAATACTGACTAGACAACTGCCATAACATAAACGCTAGTCGTCTGTCGTTAAATATCACCTGTCTTAGGTGTTTCTTAATATTAGGCAGAGGTGGTTAGGGTAGGCAGAGGTGCACATTACGGCACTTAATGCCACTGTATCAGCTCAATGGCTAGGCAACCAGTTGACTCGTCTACGTATCCGCGAGTTCGGTTCGCACGGAACAACTCTTTGTATAATTTTGTTGTTTCGGGTCTGGGTGTGACGTGTATATGAACTTTTATATTTGTACACCATGACATATCCTAATGCAATAATAACAGATTCCTAGTGTGAACCTAATTAAAAAAAATAAAACTAACAAGCTTAACTCTGTAGTCAGTCAACTTTTGACATCTCTAATAAAATGAAAATTATTCAATTTCAAAACTATATAACCCCTATCGTAGCTGTTAAATTAGCATTCAGAGTACGGAATATAAAGCTAAACTCAATACCATTTAGTTCATTCAATATCCACGCAATACCGATGCAATGGGCGGTAGTATTGCAGCTCGAGAGTACGAAATTTCACAATACCAAGATCGATCGATCGAAATTGAATTCAAGAGGTAGCTCCCTAGTCTAATTGAAATAAATTAAATTGACTATCTTTCCTTTTCTTAGGTATGGCAATGATGACAGGCCAAGGTACCTTGGTAACATTCGACAAGCGAGTGTTCACAATATCAGAAGCGGGCACATTCCTACTGACGCGGGACTATAGACAGGACAACTTCACTGTACTTATGGAGAGCAATGACCAGGGACGGTATAATCTGGTGTTACTGACCAGAAGGAGTCTCATACATATTGACTTGTATAAGGAGGTCAGTAGATATTTGTTTCGGTAATAATTTTTTTCAGGAGTATCAAATTTTTTATGGTGTAAGCCGGTGAACGAGCGGACGGATCACCTGATGGTAAGCAATCGGCGTCGCCCATGGACACCAGGAACACTAGAGGCGTTATAATTGCGTAACCGGCCTTTTGGGATTAGGCCTTCGGTAATCTCACACGACGAAACACAACGCAAGCGTTATTTCACGTTAGTTTTCTGTGAGGCCGTGGTATCACTCAGGTCGAGCCGTCCCATTCTAATTTAGGTATATTACCAAATGAAATAATGAAAGTCAAATTATTTTTGGGATTACAAGGAAAACAATCAATTGATGTAAATTTGACAATCAATTGTCAAGTGTTTGCTAATGCAATTGCAATTTTAAACAACTCAAAATTTAACCTAATACAGCTTGAAACCAGTCGAGCACACTCGAATCCTGTATATTACCAAACCATATATAAAATATGCCTTTAAACCATTCAACCAACACCTTGAACATATACAAATCTATAATTATTTACTTACAGGAAGTATCAATAGGTCAATCAGTACTAAGTCTCCCAGCGTACGTGGACGGCGTGGTAGTGGACAGACAGACGGACTCACTGTCCGTGCAAGGATACAACGGACTCGACATACAGTGCAACCTCGTCTTCCATACTTGTAAACTGCAAGTTTCAGGTATGTCTATACATTCACTATGGTTGAATTTTTTGGCGTTCCATAGTCTCTACCTACCCTCATGGGAGACAGGCGTGAGGTTATGTATGTATGTATGAAAGAAAGAAGAAAGAAATATTGTTTATTTGTCAAACGCGTTTATATAAACTGAGTAATCAGACATGCAAGATATTAAATATTTTGTTGTGCGTCCATGTTTGTAATATGTATGTTGATTTTAACCACCGTTATTCTTCCCGCGGGTGGCAGGATACCGGCAGCGGTCCTATAAATCTGAACATTTTCGATTGCTATCTCCAAATTGGCAAGTGTGGAGATCATATCAAACTGTCTTGTATAGTGGAGACACATATGCCGGAATACTGAAACGTTACTCAAATTTAAGTCTTACTTAAATATCGTGCCATCTCTGTCATTTCACAAAGAATTTGTAGAGACAGAACTATACTTAAGCGCGATTTAAAATTGAGTAGCGTTTGAGTATTCCGACATTAGGTATGCAGTGTGTGACTCATAGTTGTGCATGACTGTTACTAATTATTGATTAACGCCCGATTACTGAAAGGCTACTCAAATTAGTTGTAATTAAATATCGTGCCATCTCTGTCAATTTGGTGCTGATTGCATGACTGCACGGTTGGCGCGGTGGCTGGGCAACTGGCTGCCGAACAACGTGTCGCGGGTTCGATTCCCGCACGGAGCAACTCTTTGTGTGAGCCACAGATTGTTGGCATGGGGTGTATGTGAACTTGTATGTTTCTAAGCGCACTCACGACACAGGTGAAAATCCTAGTGTGGGGTAACGTTATTTTTTAACAAAAAAATTGTTATGATCCAATTTATCATCCTATTATTTTTATTATCCTGTTCCACATTTTTTTTATGATCTCATAAAAAAAACTTAAGATGACCGGTCTGCTGTTAGCCGTAGATACGGCTAATCTGAAGTTAAGTAATCGGCAAGTATTGGACACCCACAACATCAAAGGTGTTATAAGTGCGTTTTCGACCTTTTGGGAATTCGGAGATTTGATGATTGGGCCTAAGCAGCGTACAGAAATAAAAACCATTAAAAATAATTTCCAACATTATAACAAAACTTTTCTCCCACAGGTTGGTTCTACGCAACGCTCGGCGGCTTACTCGGAACGTACAACAACGAACAATACGACGACCTTCTACTACCGAACAATACGTTCACGACGTCAATATCGACGCTCGGCCACAGCTGGAACATAGTGCCCAGCGCTAACCCCACTAACATTGAGAACAAGGACCTGAAGAATGACACCCAGTGTGAGAAGTTCTTCCAGAACAAGGTGTCGCCGTTGAACCCGTGTTTCTCTGTTGTAAGTATTTTTTTTATTTGTTTCAAAAAAAAAAAACTCAAAAGCATTTATTTCAATTAAACCATAATTTGGTACTTTTGAAACGTCAACAAATATGAGATATATAATAGTCTGTCAGTCTGTCCGTCAGTGAAGCTAGGCGCTCGTACCAAAATGTCGATTCGAATGGAGAAGAACGAGCAAGAAACTCCATTCGTTACTCTTTTAAAAAAAGTCTGTTTTACATTGCTCTGATACATATTCCAATATTCCAATATTGTACACACATGTGAGAATAATGTAAAGACATACCTGACGCAACATACAAATAACAGAACATACTAAAATAGAAAAAAAAACAAAACCAAGAGAAAACAAATATCTTAAGTCTGACATGGTCCTCACATATGTATACTGACAATCCATATAAAATAGTGCTTCTATACAAGAAAAAAATAAAAAATATACTCTTGTTTAAATAAAGAAAGAAATGCTCGATGCCACAAGAAAAATAGATTGCCTTCATCGGATTCAAAGTGTTAAATTACCTATTATCGTAATCTGAACTAAGTACTGACTACATTTGAGTATTGTCCAGTGGAGCCGAACCAACACGCTGCCAAGCATTTCTATCCTCAAGATAATCAATCACCCTGTAGTACGCTTGTTTACATAATTCGCGCTTAATATATGTTTTAAATTTACTTTCATTGAGATCTAGTATGCTATTTGGTATTTTATTATAGCATTTAATACCTAATCCCATAAAGGATTTCTGTACCTTGGACAGTCTGAATTGCAGTACAGCTAACTTATTCTTGCCTCTAGTATTAAGATTGTGTCTATCGCTTCTTTTTTCGAACAATTGCCTATTCTTTCTTTGTTTGATACTAATATAGTAGAAATAGACATTTTTTTAGTCGCGGAGAACCTAACGGGTTTCCCAGGCTCCGGCTCGAAGCACAGGAGTAGGAACGGGGTGGTTTTTAGTCAGTAAGAGTCTGACATTCCCTCCCGCCTCACCCAGGCGGGAGCAGTGATTCGATGATTTTCCCCCCTTAAAAAAAAGACATTATTTTAGCGTATTTGTGCATGAATGTAATAAACTCTAAAACTAATTTGAGGAAGATATAAGAGATGATTTATTATGGTTTTGACCACGCCGGCGAAGTTACGAACAGATGGCTAATGTTAGTTAAAGTTTTATAGCTATTCGCCATTTGGATTTGTCGTTTAATAGAGAGTTTAATAAAGTAACGGTAAAATGGGGTGAATAAGAACCGAAAGGGATATAAATATTGAGAACATCTTCATAGTATCGATTTACCCCTCTTCTGCCTCTGTTCACCTCTCGATTCCTATTCACCTCATTTTACGGTAGTATAAATTATTTTTTTAATAGATACTGATGAAAAAGTGGTAATTTTAATGTAACCTAATCTAAAATCTGTCTTCATTCTCCCCAGATCCCAGCTCTCCCGCTGTACAGCGAGTGTATGTCAGGCGGCGACGCATGCGCCCTGGCCAGCGCGTACAAGGAACTTTGTCTACACGAACATGTACCCACACACATGCCTGACCATTGCCATCAGTAAGTACCTCTATAATTGATATTTCATCATAATCATTTATTATCATCATTTTACTCCTATCAGTACGTAGACGAAGACCTTTTTGTTTTGTTTCTTTTTTTTTAAACGTTGCCCCACATTAGTATTTTCTCCCGTGTCGTGTGTGCATTTACAAAGATACAAGTTCACATACACATGACACCAAGACCCGGAACAACAATATGTGGATCACACAAAGTGTTGTTCCGTGCGGGAATCGAACCCGCGACACGTGGCACGGCAGCCGATTGCCCAGCCACCGCACTAACCGTGCAGTCGAAACCTGCTGGATCACTACTGGCGTTCCCTCATGTTTCATTACTACTTCGCCGAAACTCCACACACAACAATCACATCTACCACCTTAAACACAAGTCCCATTTTTCTCCACAGATGTACGACCCCACAAGGCGATATTATAGAAGAAGGCGGCTTCCACGTCCTCCAATACATACCCAACTCCACCGATGTAGTCATTATAGTGGAGGCTCAGTATTGTAACAAGAATTTGCGTAAGAGCAAGAATATGGATCTCTTTGTTGAAGCGTTCGATATTAAGCTGCAAGCGAATGGATACTCAGATAATAGGTAAGTGTGATTTTCAATTGTGAACCTTAAAATCATTATTTGTTAAGTTCTTTATTGCACATCTATACAAGAAAAAATATTCGCAATACAGTATGATGGATAACTTGTCGCATTTTATATCTAATGTGTCGGGCCGTTCAAATATTACGTAAGCAGATTTTTTACAATTATTTATTCCCCCACCCTCCTTGTCAACAAATGTAAGCAAAGACCTTACCCCCTACCCCATTGTTTACGTAAACATTTTAAATTATATCTTTTATATATTGTAATTATAATATTCTCCAAATACCATAATGTCTCGTTCTTTGTAGGTATTTGCTTTTAATTTATAATTTCAATATGAGGGTTGCCATTCGTGTAAAAAAGTAAATAACTACCGATGACGTAATCATCATCTACCCCCATATCATCCGAAATAAGCAAAACAGAGACCCCTCACACCCCCATGGTGCTTACGTAATACTTGAACGGCCCCTGAACCAAAAAGTTCTATAATAAGCTGCCGATAATACTCTGAATCCAAAATCCTTGGATGAACGTAGGTATTGGACATTACCTCTATTGAATTTCTGTCATAAATCTAGAAAAATTTAAATTAATGTTGATTATTAATTTGGAATTAGATATTGTGAAACAGTTTCCTCATATTCTATCGCTTTCTATATTCATCTCTCTCGTTATTTCTTAAATTCACTGTTAAACCTAGTTTAACTGGTCAATTACCAAACGGTTACCGCTGACCGCTCTCTACTCACTGCATCATAGACCTTATTTTCGATGTTAAGAGACTACTTTTGTATGACCAAATTTTGGGGATATTCGGTACAATGTCTCAAGTGATGAAGTCAACATAACATAACATAACATCACGCCTTTTATCCCCGAAGGGTTCGGCAGAGGTGCACATTACAGCAGTGATGAAGTCTACATTCATTAATTTGGTTTTCAGATACGCGATCGTAGGTTTCGGTGGTAGCGGCGTGTACCGTCGTCCTCGGGCGTTGTACGTCAATAACAAAGTGTTCACCAACCCTATAGAAGTGTCATTGCATCTGGATAACTTCATTATTGGTAAGTAAGCTTTATGAGGATGAAGATAAAGTTCAATTTACTTTATATTTTTATTACTTTTACTAAGAAAAACATAACTTATAACAGTCATACGAAGGCTAGACTATTTTCAAGTAATGACAGGGACCCGTAGTCATGAGCAGCTAACGCGACAATAACGCTTAAATATTTATGTAATGAAGCCGTACAAATTAATTGTGATAATTATTATACAATGCAAAAAATCTTATTTATTTCTATATCTTATTACTAATTAACGAAGAAAACTTTAGTCAAACTCAGAATTGACCTTCTCAAGGTCGTTAACTTAACATTCGACTTATAAAGATTTCTTCAAATTCCTACTTTCAATATAACACAATAAACCTCAATTTCCTTTTCAGACAAAGCTGACCTGGTCCGCGGCAACCGCACCCGTAAAGCAGATATGTTCGCAGCACTAAGTTTCGCCACTCAGCTTCCGTTCCGAGCCGCTGTACCCAAGATGTTCATACTGATGCCGTGCTCCAAGTGTGATTCTACCTTTATGAGGGTAAGTTGTATTCACCTATGAAGCTGGAATTAAGTCTAGAGGGGTAGTTTGCTACCTACATTTTGTATGAAATGGGTCGGGAAACGTATGGACTGTAGGCGGAACACCTGATGGTAAGCAATCGCCATTTATGATAGCCACGACACTATAGGGTTTAGATGTGCGTTGGTGGCCTATTGGGGATTTGGAACTTTAGGGATTAGCGACTCTAGATGGGATATGGAGATGATTGGGCCCCCGATAACCTTACTCACGCAGATGGACTAACGCAAGCATTGCTTTTTTTTACACCAGTTTTTTGTGAAGCCGTATCACTCAAGTCGAGCCGGCCCATTGGTGCCGAATCATGGCTCATATCAAAATTCCTAGTTCATTATAAAGTATTTTAAAGTAACTGTTACCCGCGTCATTGTTAGATCACTTTTAAATGTTCTTTTATGTTTCTTCAGCTGGACTACTCCACAATCTACCACAACCTGATGGAGAGCTCGGTGACACTCCACATCCTCATGGATGATGACTTCATGCTGTCCAAGAAGAGAGCCGCTAAGTACTTGTTCGGTAAGTTAATTTTTCATACCTTTCAGTTTGGTAAGAAGAAAGATGGTAAACATGATACAGTGTTAGTCTGTTTACCCATTGGCAGCAATACTTTACACATCATTGGTTTTTTATGGTATAAGCCGATAAACAAGCACACGTATCACCTGATGGTAAGCAATCGCCGTCGCTCATGGACACCTGAAACGCCAGAGGAGAGAGAACGCCACGCCGCTTTCTAGTTGTATCATGTAACATCTTTCTCCAATATTAATATCCATATCCCTCTTTATAATAAGTTACCGAATAATATCAAGGAACAATCACTAACTAAATTTAAGAAGCATGTTACAGAATTACTTTTGCACAAGTGTTATTATTCAGTACAAGAGTTCTTGGATGATAAGTTTTGATAAATTCTTTTAAAATGTATATTTGGATGCCAATTAAGGTAGAATGTACAAGGAAACTTAAAATTTTGTAACACCTAATAATTTGTACCTACATTCATAGCAAATAAATTATCTATTCTATTCTATTGTATTCTATTCTATTATATTATATTATATTCTATTCTATTCAAAGTCAAAGTCAAAGTCAAAGCATTTATTTCAATTAAACCATAGTTTGGTACTTTTGAAACGTCAACAAATACAAAATAAATAATAGTCTGTCAGTCAGTCCGTCAGTGAAGCTAGGTGAAGCTAGGTGCTCATTCCAAAACGTAGATTCGAATGGAGAATAACGAGCAAGAAACTCCATTCGTTACTCTTTTAAAAAAGTATGTTCTACAATGTCTCTGATACATATTTCAATACTGTACGCATATGTAAGAACAATGCAAAGACACGCTTGACGCATTATACTAATAACTTACTAAAATAAAAATAAAAATAATAAAGATCTTAAGTCCAACATGGTGCTCACATATGCATACTGACAATCCATAGAAATAGTGCTTCTATACAAGAAAAAGGAAACTCTTTGTTTCAATAAAGAAAGAAATGCTCGATGCCATAAGGAAACTAGATTGTCTACATTAGATTAAAGTATTAAATTATGTATTATATTACCTACTATTGGAATTTAACTACTGACTACATTTGAGTATTGTCCAGTGGAGCCGAACCAACATGCTGCCAAGCATTCTTATCTTCAAGATAATCTGTCAGTGTGTAGTAAGCTTGATTACATAATTCGCGCTTAATATATGTTTTAAATTTACTTTCATTGAGATCTAGTATGCTATTTGGTATTTTATTATAGCATTTAATACCTAACCCCATAAAGGATTTCTGTACTTTGGACAGTCTGAATTGCGGTATAGCTAACTTATTTTTGCCTCTAGTATTAAAATTGTGTCTATCGCTTCTTTTCTCAAACAATTGCCTATTTTTCCTTACATACATTATATTTTCATATATATATTGACAGGGCACCGTTAAAATATTTATCGTTTTAAACAATTCTCTCAACGATTCGCAACGGCGTAAGTTATATATTGCTCGGATAGCCCGCTTTTGTAGAATTAATATTTATTTTATTTTTGCAGCTCGACCCCACAACAAAATGCCGTACGACATAATGCTGTGGAAATAACTAAAATAGACAAGCCTAGCTGTATCCACGTCCGTGAGCTGTCTATTCTATTCTATTCTATTCCCTCTCCAGGCGTGGACAACACACTAGCGTACACGAACAAGGACTACGAGCGTCTAGTAGGAGACTCCGCGCTACGGAAACAAGTCAAACTACCCAAGGAGAAGCTCGGACTCTGCACCTCATTGGCTATGGAGACTAATGGTAACGTATTTTTGATATCTATCTAAGTTTCAGTTGTTTTACAGTTAGAAGTCTCGGGTTCGATTCCCGGGTTGGGCAAAATATTACTGAGTTTAAAAAATCTCAGTAGTAGCACGGTGTCTAGAATTGTACCCGGTATATCGCAAAAGACTCATTCCCTATTATTACTCATAACATAAAAAGTGAAAATTGGGTGTTAGATTACATTGTACAGTGGCATTAAGTGCCGTAATGTGCACCTCTTCCCCTTCGGGGATAAAAGGCGTGATGTTATGTGAAGTCACATTTTGTCTGTGGATTGTACACACGCCTGTACATCAAGCTATGGAACACCAACGTAGAAATTACACTCAACAAACATACTTCGGTGACGTCACTCACACGGCGGAACATAGCGAAAGCATTGTTTCATTCCGAGCTGCAGACGACCTAGCGTGTTCATCAGAAGCATGCTTTCAGGAGTAGAAACGGGGTGATTTTTAGTCAGTAAGAGTCTGACACTCCCTCTCGCCTAACCCAGAGTGGAAAGACTCATTCAGAGACGTTTCCCTCTTCAAGAAAAAGAGTTATACTAACATAACATAACATCACGCCTTTTATCCCCGAAGGGGTAGGCAGAGGTGCACATTGTGCCATTGTACAATGTAACACCCACTTTTCACTATTTTTGTTATGAGTCCCATGTAATAGGGGGTGAGCCTATTGCCATAAACCGGGCACATTTCCAGACTCCGTGCTACTACTGAGGTTTTTACAAACCCAGTAATACTTTGCCCGACCTGGGAATCGAACCCGAGACCTCTTGCCCGGCAGTCGCACTTGCGACTACTCGGCCAATGAAGCAGTTATACTATTCAGCGTTCTAACCAACAACCCGTCTCATCCAGGTACAATATTCGCGGGCGCCAAGTTACAAGGCGACCGTCCCACCGCGCGCCGGTTCAGCAGCGTGCTGGGGGCGCGCGCCGCTATGTCCGCCCCGCGGTGTCACTCGCCGCCGCGCTGCGAGTGCAGCGACGGCAGGCTCGTCTGCAGGCCTTGCGCGGACACGCAGAGACTGGTACGTATTTGTATTCATTAGGATTTTACAGGGCTTTTGGAGGATAAAAATACAAGGTGTAGTTTTGAAACCGTGGCATTTCTCGGGGGCATGTCACAGAAGTCATAAAGGTTCAATGTAAGAGAAAGTTTCGGGCCAATAGTTAAAAATACGGCTATAATAAATCGTTTAAGTTGGACAGTATTTCAGAATAAGCGACGGTAATGTTTCTTATTGGAGTTTTATGGAATAAGGCATAATATCAATTACGTGTTTGAGTTTGTGTTATAAGCCGCGTTATAAAACTAGTTACAAGATGACGGCGTCTAGTTCGTACTAACGGATTTCCGTAATTCACAGAAAAATGAAAAATATTTACCAAAATTTTTTTTTATTGATTCGGACTCAGAATCGATAGCCGAGTTACCTCCTATAAAATGACGCGGCTTTAAAACAACACTTTGTATAATAAAAAAACTGTTGAAGACAACCCACCAATTCCGATTACCCTAGTCACAGTTTTAAGCATAGAACGAGATATTATACTATATTATATATCATATAACCAAGCGGTCATCGGTGACCGCTCTGCACTTATTCCATTATCGACCTTATTTCCGATGTCTAGAAAATACTTTTGTATGAGCAAATGTTTAGGATTTTTCATAATCGTGGATTAATTACTTTTTTCATGACTTGATTACATTTTCTTACTTACAACATGTTACTTACATCATTTCAAAAATCATAAATTAAAATAAAAATTTTGATTATTGTGCTAAATTACTAATATTACTGTCGAGTCCAATATCACATGCCATTCCCGAGCCGGGCAAGAAATCCTTACTAATATTATAAATCAGAAAGTGAGTTTGTTTGTTCGTTTGGTTGTTCCGCTTTCACGCCGTAACTACTAAACCGATTGCTTTGAATTTTTGCAGACGTAAAGTTAGAAGTCCGGATTAAATAATAGGGTACTTTTTATCCCGGAAAAATTTGATATTCCCGAGGGAAAACAAAAGTATTGGTATAGATGGCGCTGTATGTATTGGTAATGGTATATGTCACATAGGCTACTTTTTATCCTTTTGTGACGTGAGCAAAGCCGCGGGTAAAAGCTAATATTAAATAAACATTATTTTAAACCTTTCTCTTTTAATTGAATACCCACTCCAAAGTAGTCTAGTTTTCAAATTCGTTACTTAGTAAAAATTTTTATCTACATTTACAATTTATTAGTGAACATTATCTATTATACAATGTTAGAATTAGATAATAAGTAGATGTTATCACCTGACCTGACCTCCGTTATATAGATAACGGAGGTCAGGTCAGTCTATTCAGTGCTCCACGTTTTGAATTTATTGGTCATTGTATCGTAACTGGGAGATCTTATAAACATAGTATATTTAATAACCAGCTAGTTGCACGCGTTTTCACCCGGTCTGCACGGCTCCTATTGGACATTGCGTGATGTTTTATACCGATAGCCTTCCTCGAGCGAACACAATTTTTTTTTCAAATTGAATATTCCCGAGACCCTTCCTGAGAGTAGTGAGAGTGCGTTCAAACAAACAAACTGTTCAGCTTTATATAATAGTACTAGCTTCTTCAATTGGATACTTGCCAACTAGTCAAATTCAATACTTTTTTCGAACTGTCAAAAACGACAGTCTTCTATGAATTTTGTACGAGACTGTGTATTGTGACGTCACGTTTTTTTAGCGTCAAACAGCATACTTATTTCTTAAAAATTTGTTGATAAAATTATTAATGAAAGTGTGATTATTTTTTAATATTGTATGTTATTAAATAGTCGGAATAAATTTTTGATTGAGGCAAGTACCCAATTGCACCAGCTGTCACTTCGCCATACGCAACCCATTCACCCTGGCCTTGAAGACACCCAGGTTATACCCTTCAGGAAATACAGACTTTGGCAAAGAATTGCACTCTTTCGCAGTACACACAAGAAAGCATGATGCGAAACGCTTTGTGCCGGTAGGTGGGACATCTACCATGAATTGGTGACCCTTCGCCGGTGTCCAGTTAGTTGCGCAACCAGCTTATACATTTTGTAGGTAGTGGCGATTGGCTGCGCCGCCATGGTATCCCGGCGAAGTATAACCTATGCATAATGTCATAATCTATCCTACAAAAATGTTCTAATTTATTATTTCTCTATCCACAGTTGGAGCTATCATTCTTCAACTCAGATGACATCGACGAGTTAATCGACATGGCGATGGAACCACCCACCCTGCCTTCTTTCAGATGATAGGAGCATAGTAAATAGAATAATGTCAGGACCCAAATCTAAATTATACTCTAAGTAAACTAACGTAAGGTAGACATTTCAGTAAATGCTGCTTGTAATTGTTAACCGATTTTGAAGTTTATTTGCTTTAATATATTGGAATAATTTAGATGTTTTTTTCTGCAGAGAATCTTAAGTCTTGTTGCTTGTGCAATAAGCATCAAAATCGGTTGACAACTATCGAAATGGCTAGTGAAATTGTCTATCATTATTTAGTATGGAGTTATAGTTCCTACGATTTTACAATTACATTGACTGTAATTTATTCTCAAGAAAATTGTCGTAAAGTACAAATTTGGACTCAATAATGTAAGGAATAGGGCTCAAAACTGTATACCTAATTTTACTGGTACCTAGATAGTGAATTGTGATATTTTTTATCAAAAAGTATCTCATTTTAGTAAAATTAATATTCTTTTATTTAATTAATCTATTTGTATTCGTAAGAACAAGTTCAAACAAAATGCAAGTTATTATGAACCTTATTTACTTAAAAATAGTGTTTATTATACAGTGACTATGTAGAATTTATAGAAAGAAGTTTCCTGTGTACATATTTGATTACAAATAAGTTTGACATTTAATAAAATATTTTTATAAATTACTTCTGGTTGTATTATTTCTTATGCCCTTTTATTTAGCTTTTCTTCCCAGCCAGTATAAAGTCAAGGATATACTGGGAGACAAATGTACCGAGACATATTATATCAGCCATATATCGAAGCGACGAAGTCGATCGACTTCGCCTGGCTTATGTATACAGAGTGTCCCTGAAGTCGACGATCAAATGGTATCAGGTCATCGGCAAGGTTCCAACAGTTATCAAAAAAATAATATTATGAAAATTCCTTTTCGGGTAGTTATGTGTTGTCAACTATTCTCAAGTACACCCTGTGCTAGTTTTTTGGCTCTATTGTTGCTATAATTCTTCATTGTTTGGTTTGTATTTTTGCTTACGTTATCCTAAAAGGTGTTTTTGTGTTTTGGAAGCATAAATTCTGAACCAACTGCTTCAGTTTAAAAAAGAATAACATTTTTTGATGAACCAAGTACTTTTCAATAAAATTTTCACCTTAGTTTAAGATATTTTTTTTTTTTTTTTTTTTTAAACGTTGCCCCACACTAGGATTACCTCCTGTGTCGTGGGTGCGTTTACAAACATATAAGTTCACATACACATGACACCCAGACCCGAAACAACAATTTGTGGATCGCACAAAGTGTTGTTCCGTGCGGGAATCGAACCCGCGACACGTTGCACGGCAGCCGGTTGCCCAGCCACCGCACCAACCGTGCAGCCAAGTGACTGTAGTAAATAAAAATTGTACTGCGGTTGTAGTGGCAACCAAAGTTGGCACATTTAATAAAGATTCTAAATGGAATACCACTCCCTATATTATTTTTAATAATTGACGCAAAATATCCACTTCGAAAAATTTATTTTCTGAAATTTATTCTAGTGTACCCAAAGCTCACCAAAACAGTTGCCGACTGCACGGTTGGTGCGGTGGCTGGGCAACCAGCTGCCGTGCAACGTGTCGCGGGTTCGATTCCCGCACGGAACAACACTTTGTGTGATCTACAAATTGTTGTTTCGGGTCTGGATGTCATGTGTATGTGAACTTGTATGTTTGTAAACGCACCCACGGCACAGGAGATAATCCTAGTGTTGGGCAACGTTTCTAAAAAAAGAAAAAAAAATGTCCGAAACGGAGTTTCGTTGAAAAAAATATTTTGTGCCGAATTTAAGAAATAATGTACGCAGTGACATATCAATTTAGAATCCTTCATAAATACCCCAACTTTGGTGAGATTTGCCACTACACTAGTAGTAGTACAATATATTTTTTTTTTCAGTACAATCACTAAAAGTACGATGAAAAATGTATTAAGAACACTTGGTTCATTAAGCGACATCCTTTTCCAAACTAAAGCAGTTGGCTCAGAATTTATGATTGAATAATATTGAAGAGCTAATCAGGATAACGTAAGCAAAAAAAATACAGACGATAAATATAGAACTGTAGCAACAAGACCCTAAAGACTGCCCCAGGGTGTAATTTTTCGTGGATAACACATCAGTCATTGTAATTTAAAAACTGACCTCGGATTTTTTTAATACTTTTCCGAGAAATGTGGGAACCTTGCCGATCATTTGGTGTCATTTGATCGTCGATTTCAAGGACAACCTATATGCCCACAGTGACTTGTTTTTTTTTTTATTCTTTGGCAACCGAGTCTAACAGTGACTTGTTATTGCCAGACATGTCGACCAAAGTCCGTCAACGTCGCGCTACTTCAACCGACGCGACGTAGATGGCGACACGTGTCGTACGACATTAGTCCCCTAGTGTATTTGTTTAAAGATATGGTAAGAAACAAAAACCCTGGTCATTTATTGAAAGTCAAGCAATGAATTTTCCTGCGTTTGGACATTGGTTGGCTTGAGGTTGCCCAAGCTCACATTAATAGCCAAACCTAGAAAAGCTTTGAATACGACACATCGAGAAATATTTTAAACGGAACCTATGGAGATAATAAAAACTGAAAACTGCTCCGAAATCGGATGTTTGGTTTCCAAAACATTTCAAATGTGTTGAGAATTTGTTTGGTATAGGTGAATTTTTGATCAAAGTTAATGATAAGTAGGCCCTCTTTACCCGAGGTCATTTCCACTCCGTCCTTCAAGTAGAAAATATGACTTTTCTAGGAGATGGTCAAAATTTTCGCCAGTTTTTGGCTAACACCTCTAGATATTGTAAATTAGATATTTCAGGTGGACAAAGCTTTCCTTTGGCGGAAAACGAGGGCAATTCTCATATTGGTGTGAAAAAAAGCACGTTTTACTATAAACACCTTTATTTATAACTACATAAGTCTTAAAATCTTGGAAATAGACATATTATCGGTATCATACTAAGTATGGTATTTTTTTTCATTACATCTTCAACTTTATAGTATTGACATAAAGTCGTAAATCTAAAGACTAAAGTTGCCACATTGGAGTAGGTTGGTCTACTGGCTACTGTACAACCATCATTGTTATTGTGGCTTAGACAAAATTTTATAATCGTAAGGTGCTCCCACACTACAGTTATATACCGTTACAACACGATAACATTTTGTAACATACTCTACAACATATCAAGTTACTACTACGACTTTTGTTACAATTTGTTTACAAACAAATGTTAAATCAGTCTAACTGCTGTGTGGGAGCATCGTTAATTCTTTTTTAAAAAACTGTTTCAAATATTGTATTCTTAGTTATACACAAAATATAGACAGAGATATTAAACTACGATATGACTTGTTATTGACTGGAAAAAGCGCGCTGCACTATTTCTTCTCGAAATTTACGTATACAATAAGCCAGTCAGTTCAATTGTAACTCTTTCTGCGTGTATTACTTTACCCAAATAAAAATTTTCTTTCTTAAAATTTATTTTACTTTTAATAATCTGTGACGAAACCAATCAACTACTTCTGTTACCAATCAGAACCTGAATCGATGACAAAGTCTCGGTAGTGACAATGACAGAAATCGATACATAATATTTTCAACTTTACTACAAAAGCAATTAAGATTATTACACAAATTCACAACATAGTGACCGAGCGAATCCATTGCTTCGATTGGCCATATAAAATTCCTTATCATTCCTAAAAATATCATCCTCATAATAATTAGACTTTAAAATAAATAACAAGAACAAATCTCTGCTTTAACAAAACTGGAAGTGCTATTTATTATAATGAGAGTTACCATTCCTGTTCACTAGATGACGTTACTGTTCTAAAGTCCTCTTTGACAATCACTGTAGCTGTCAAAAATGAACATGACCAATAAATTGATGAAATTATTATAGTAAACTAGCAAACTCGGCGAACTCCGTTTCGCCACCAGATGGCTTCGATTTATGTAACATTTCGTTTGGTGATTAAAAGTGATTTTTCTTTGCTATAAACCTCACGGAGCCCGAGACCTTTCTAACGAATGCTAAACCGTGGAAATCGGTTCGTGCGTTCTGGAGTTATAGCGTCAGGATGGAAAACCTGGACTTTTTTTATATAGTAGATTATTGGAGAAGAGACCTTAAATGTAACTAGCGTAAATTTTAGGAGCGATAACTCTCATTATTATAATAATATTTTGATTTTGTACAATCTTTGGCACAATTTACTTATACATTTTATACGCCGTAACAACACCAGCTACAATGAGTACAACAGCTGAGAATTTATACAACATGTTATATAGAACTTTGTTCTGACCTCCAACCGAGTTGACGATCAAATTGTTCATCACAAACACTTGGTTGCTCTCCTCAATGAATGCGTCCTTTTCTTCCTCAGTCATTGTATCTGCTATCTCATTCATTGCTTGTCTGAAATCCTTCTTTAGCTGAGCTATGTCCGTTCCAGAGAAGTCTGTTACTTTATCCGTGTATATATCTGTTTTGGCGTTTTCTGAAATATAGGAATAAGGAATTAGATACTGTTTTGATGAAAATGTTGAAACCCATATATATATCCCTAAGCGGTCACAGGTGACCACTCTCCACAAACTACACATAGACCTTATTTCCAATATTTAGAGACAACTTTTGTATGAACAAATTTAGGGGATGAATTTCAACGGGTTAAGTAAAGTTCACTGCAGCATTGGTAATAGAGCATTAAGCTTTGTTAAAATTGTTTACAAACCTAAACTATAGTGCCATTGAGCTAGTTGGTAGTATTTTTGACTGTTCAAAGTGCCTTTTTTTTGTTACAATTGAATTTAATACCTTGAGTTTGACTAGTATGATTACCAGGTCGATTGGTTTAAATTATGAAATTATCGGTAGTAGCAAATAACTAAAAATGAAGTGGATAATTTGATAATTTTTTTGATGTGCTAAGTTACATTTTCCTTTCTTTTTTATTATTTGTTTTTCTATATTCCTTATATTAATTTTAGTTGTAAATACTTTAGTACTTTATTTAACTTAGCTCTAGTTATTTATTATTTAGTTTTATCTATATATAGATTGTTGTAGTTTCATTACATTCTTAATGTATTTATATTTATATATATAGAACAAAAATAAATTATAATAACTATCGTGAGACATACTAATTCAACTAAAATCGCGGTTTACTTACGAGGTGAGCTGCGCGACGTCGACGCGACCGCGCACGCTGCTCATGAGGAAAAACCCCTCTGTGGTTCGAATCTAGTAGAGCTTTTCTCAGTATATTCACATGAGTAACCCGCGATTTTAGTTGATTAAAAATAAATTACTGTGAAAACAGTGAGTAATGCAGTAACATTAAACTGTAAAAATATTTTCGTGATTAAAAAATATTTACCATCGCCAAACATCTTCCGTTTCTTAGCCAGAATCTGTCCACCGCTGAGGAGCCCCAAGTATAAATGATAGACATATGCCATCAGTAGCCTTGGGTTTGACCTCTCCAACTCTTGCAGATGTTCTATGTAGTTGTCTAGTGCCATCGCCTTAGTTATAGACCTCCAATTTTCGCCCAAATAATGTGTTAAATCATCTTCAAATGCTTTCTTTCTGAAATTTTAATTTCTGACGTTATTTTTTTTATGTTTGATGAGCCGACGTTTGACCACTATCTCGCCTAGTGGTAAGCGATAATTCGGCCTACGTAGGAGCGTCTGCCATAAGCAACTTATTCACTCTGGCCTTTAAGACACCCGGGTACCGTATACATTAGTTTATAGTAAGCCTGTTATAGTTTGTTTTATATGTGTAAAATTGTAATTTTTTATGAAACTAATGGTAATATAGGGTAAATGTAGGTAAAAAAGTATATACTTTTTTAGAGAGGACGAAGAGACTTAGAAGAGAACCCTCTTCTCCTCTTCTTCTAGAAACTTTTTTGAAACTACTCATTTTATAGTACTAAACACAAAATTCAAATAAGTGTGTTTGCTGTATATTTAGCTTAGACATGGAACATACACTTATAAATTATAATATTTAATTTTTAGAAATAAATAAGTGTACAGTGTACCTAATGCAAGTAATGCATAACATACCTGTATAAAACCTTATTGACGAACAGCTTATCGAAGTCTGGCATGTTCAGCCTTGCTTTAGCATCTTCGAGGAAACCAAACACATGGTAGAATATGAAAAGACCACCGCCCCATACTTCTTCATCTCGCAGTGCTGGAAAAGACAATAGAAGAGTATTAGTGAATTTGTATATTTCAAAATTACATTATATGAGATACAATAGAAAATATATGTGCCGGTATCAGAGAACTTCGCATAAAATATATATGCGAAGTTCTCTGCGCAAATATAGTTGGAAAGGGATGCACAATTGCACATATCTATAATAGCTACTCGGCGCCTATTGGTCGTAGCGTAATGTTTTACGCTTTCCACAAAAATAATTATTTAAATCCGACCAGTAGTTCCTGAGATAAGCACGTTCAAACAAACAAACTTTTCAGCTTTATACAGTGTATCTCTGAAGTCGACGATCAAATGGCACCAAGTGATCGGCAATGATCCAACAGTTGTCATATTATAGTTTTTAAATTGCAATGACTTATGTGTAATCTACGAAAAAAAGAAAAAAAAAATAAAAATATCAAACTTAATAAGTTTACTGAAAAAACTACATTACCTACTTAAAGTAAGGTGAAAATGTATTAAGAACAACTGGTTTATTAAAAAACGACATTATATTCAAAACTAGAGCAAGTGAGCTCTGTGTTGTCAAAACACTGGCACAGGGCACTTTATATTAAGACATTGTAATTTAAAAACTAAGTATATGACTCAGAAGTTTTAATATTTTTCTTTTAACTATTCGAACCTGGCCGATCACCTGGTGCCATTTGATTGTTGTATCAATCTACCTATTGGATGTATTGAGCAGAGGTCCCCGCTTGAGTATTATTTTCTTATACAGGCTTTAGTCTCTCATGTAGATCCACCTTCTGGCACCTTACAGATTAACCTCTTATCTGCTTGTTTTTGAGACTATTGATGTGTCTTGATACCATGTGTCAATTTTCAAAGAAGTAGGCAGGGGGTAGGCGGTCGGTACATATTTATCTTATTCACACCTGATCTCCAGAAATTCAGGCAGAGGGGTACATAGATATTTTATACAGTCTGCTTATTGTCCTAAACTACCTTTTCTTACAATCATCAATACAATACAGTCACCATTTTTGAGATGAATAAGTTTTAGACATAATCGAGATGGTTCATACATCACACATGATTATAATTTATGTAGTTGATAAGAATATATGGTATTTGCCGGCAATCGACAACTGCGTAGACTTTCGCACAAAGGAACTATGACTTGACAAAAATATTGCTCACAGATATTAGATAAATATAGATTTTATTTATACTTTGTTATAGTATAAAGCTGAAATAAGCATTAAGTATTGTAGGTATAACTTACAAAGAGCGAACTTTGCGTTCACCAAGGCATCACTGATGTTGTGTATTTTTCTCGTCGCCTTTCTCATGCGAGTTGTAAATAATTCACCCTTGTCTTCCATTTTCACTGAAGATTGTGTGTTTTATCAATAAAATGTGACTGCTTCTGCGAACTGTTGAACCCGGACAACCTCAGGAAATCAAAATCAACGTGATGCTGACAAAAAACAAAGATTACAAGATAACTTTTTGACTTTTGCTTTTGACTTAACCCTGCTGCGCTTTTACTGCTTTTACCTAACTGTCAAGTGTCAACACTGGTAAACTTATACAGCAGCAAACAGAAACTTCTTATTGGAATTTAAGAAAATTATTACTAATATATATTCAATGATGATTTTTTGAGTTTTACACGTATTTTACTAGTAAAACTTTAATAGTTCTGCGTAATTCTTATTATCAATAATGTCATCACTACTAGTTGTACCGTTGAGGGTTAATTGATCAGCTGTTCATGTGGCTTACATTTTGACAACTGTAGCGTTTAATTATTGTAAATACAAAAATATTTAAGGCAATTTAGAATAATTTAAAATACTGCTAGTCATATTCAGAAGTTGTATAATAAACTAATACAGTCAGATATATTTAATTAATTCAAATTTAAGTACATATAAGGATTTTTTATCTAGAAAAGTAGCAAAAACGTTTAGTTTTGCTTCAAAATTTTTACACAGTAGTAATAATCTTTGTCGTCGTCGTCAGAAGGAAGTTACAGTGTTATTTACATCAATAAACTTAATTGGTCATTTTATCGCCGGCTCTGTGTTCAGCCACACTTTATGATAGCAGCACAAATTCTTATTATTCACGCGAATTAAACTCCGTAGCTATGGGCGACTCCCCTAAAATAAAGGTAAATACATGATCAACATTTTGTTGTAATTAAATCAATTTCCATTGAAATATCTAATAAAGTGACTTTCCACTAAATAAATTTAAAATAATTATTTAAACTTGCCTACAAAGAATCAATTCTTGAAATTAATATTTTAATATAAAAGTAAGTTAACAAGTTTGTTTGTAAATTGATAAACTAATCAGTTTGACTTTGACATTTCCCGAATTGTTATCTAACCTCAATTACTCGTCTCGTATGTCGATATCTTAAACTACGAAATTGCGATGGCTTATGACTTAAAACAAGAAGAAGAAGTGAAGGAGTATATAGAAAATCTCGGGATTGAATACCGGTTTGGCTGTTACAAAGAGCAGAAGCCGGAAGTATGTCATCTGCTAGGAGATTATCTGGAGGCTATAAAGAAGGACTATGATAAGGCAGCGAAAGTGTTCAAAAGTAATTGTTTGGATTATAAGTTTGGGAAATCATGTCTGAAGATTGGGAACTATACGCTTGTGGGTCGAGGGAGGGAGAAAGGTGATCATGCGGAGGCTTTGAAGTACTTTGAGAAGGGATGTGAATATAACGAGCCTGGAGCGTGCTTGCACGCAGGTCTGCTGCTGACAGCTACTGGACCCGGCGTGACCATACCACGGGACGTGCCTAAAGGTAATAACTTCACATTTACATGCATACACTCTGATAGTGCAAAATTGATATTTAGATCCACAATATAGATGATGATGTTGCTAAAGTACACATTGCTCTGGGCGATATTGCCTCTGACAGATTGAGCCCTGTATATAAATTTAAAAAAATGCATATAAACTCATGTCTTTTTCCCATGTAACAACAGAAGACTGCAGAATCTGTAAAAAGAACTATTGTAATTGAAATGATGTTATTTTCCTATTAATTACATAATGAATCAGCTATTACTAATTACAATAGTTAATCATCTTTTGTTCATTACTTGAAAAATTCTAATCATAAGATTTTTGTTCAAGGTTCAATGTTAATTTTTTGTGGCCATTGTTGTCTAGACAATGTTCATAATAATAACATTGTTAGAAGAAAACTGGTAGAGCTATAACTAAAATTTAATTACAGATTTATTCTTGCTTTGTAGGTTACAACTACCTCAAGAAAAGCTGTGACCAAAATGACCCGATGGCGTGCCACTACCTTTTCGGAATGTACCTGACTGGCGTACCAAAGAACGTAGCAGAATTCAATCCACACAATCCAGAGAAAAACAAAAACATAGAATACATAATTAAATCAGACAAAAAACAAGCATTTCAATTTGCAAAGAAAGCGTGTGAACTCGGTCACATGTACGCCTGTGCGAATGTTAGTATGATGTATAAACGAGGGGATGGAGTGGAACAAAATGCGGATGAAGCAAAGAAATTCTTTGAAATTGCACAAGCGTTACAGAAAGCTCATGAAACCACGAAAGAGGTCAAATTCCAGCAGGGATTGGATGGGAAATAGTGTTAAATGGATTTGGAACTTTGCATTTATTTTGACCTTTCAACAGCCCTCAAAACATTTCTTAACCCCTAGCAGATGCTTATGGATATATAAAAATGAATTGTTGTATGTTACAACTATTTTTATACATATTTTTAATTGATATTAAATAATTGTACATTAGGATTTATTTCCAAGCATTAAATAAGGTGTAAATAGAACCAGAAAATTGTGCACAATGTGGATACGGGCTCTAGGGGCTTAGAAATGTATGTTTGTTAAAAAGTTGATGACTTGTATAGTATTGTTGACTGTAGATGTATAAATAAATTATTTCAGCACAAATAGAAATCTTTTATTTACATTTTCTTTTATTACCATATAGTTACAGCAATGTCAAGGTTATTGGAATGCTGGCATTATACAGTACACGTCCTTTAACTATAGCACTTGCATAATACTGTACATTTTAACTCTATTACACAATGTCAGTTAAAACAAAAGAAAAAGCCTGGACTTTCCAATTTCAAATAAGTGGTTTAAAAAAAATCAGGCATACAAGAATAAAGATTGAAGCTATCGTCCATTCTGCCACAGTTAACTAGCTCCCTATAAAATTGGCACAAATTAATTTGACACAGATCGGAATTATTGGCGGATCAGGGTTCGATGACCCCACGCTGTTCGAGAATCAAATCGAGAAGGATGTGACGACACCGTTTGGCAAACCGTCAGATGTGTTGATTGAGGGACAGATCAAAGGAGTTCCCTGTGTACTGCTGGCTAGACATGGGAGGAAACATCAATTCCAGCCGAGGTAAGGATATATGAACAAGTCTAGTGACTGATGTTTAGACTCGAAGTTCTATTAGTCGATTTTGAACTTTATAGCAATGGGATTAGGTCGAAAATCTAATGAAACTTAAGACATCTAGCTCATAGTTAACTAATAACGACTTCTGCATTAGATTAGGTAAGTACGATTAGCTTAGGTAGTGTTATTAAAGCACCATGTAGCAATCATCGATTACAATCAAACAGCATTTTTTGTATTTACAATAACTATCGTTTCGTATGACATGCTGAATTAACTAAAAATTACGAGTTATTCACGCAAATATGCTGACAACAGCTCTATTACTTTCGAGCCACAGAGGGACTCTTCCTCATGAGCAGCGTACGCGGTCGCGGCGATGTCGTGCAGCCTATTGGTATTTGGTAGTAGGCTTCTTTAGGTCTACTACCTAGAGCTTTTCTCAGAATATACAGTAATAATATAAAGTAACTTGTAATATTTAATTACTTAATTCAGATTTATTCCTGCTGCCAGACATTTTAAGTTGCTAACAAGCAACCAACTTACGTAATCATTACTCGTACAAAATTATTCATCTTATGTAATTCTATGACCTTCGGCTGTTTTTGTTTGTTAGGTAAAAAACAGTCATATAACATCACATCTTTCGTTATTCGATTAAGCAGGTAGAAATACTTATCTATTACTAGTTATTTTATAACTTACCAATCTAGAGAATCAGAAATACAAGGCCTTCCGTCCAACGTTACATTTTCAAAAGCAGTAAATAGTTACCTATATACCTACCTACATTAAATGTAGGTAGCTAGGTAGACATATACTCGCTCCTTTATTTCATGACGGTAGGTAGAAACTACAAGATGGCGCCATCTACGAGTTTTTTTATTACCTACTTGATATGTCACGTTTGGTCACCATCTCGCTTTACGTTATACGTCCTTACAGAGGCCTTAGTACGAGTTTAAGTTACGTTTAATTAAAGTATTCGAAACGAGTACGCGTTCGGCACTCTGATTGGCCGGCACCAATGAAGCAACCAATCACAGCTCCGAACGCCACCCAGGCGAGAGCAGACTCTGCTCTCGCCTGGGTGAGGTGGGAGGGAGTGTCAGACTCTTACTCCACCACGGTCCAATTTCCACTACGTCAGGATCTGATGATGGGATCCCATAGAAACCGAGGGGAACTTTTCAGAATTGTATGGGCGGCGAGAGCGTTTGTAAATTTTTTATATAGTATTTAAAATTATTACAATTTGATGAAGGTGTGGAGTTGTTATGATGATGGAGTCAAGAGATAGTCGAGGGAACTCCTCGAGGATTTGTGGCAATGACCGCGTGTTTGGGCTTAAATTATTTGTACTGAAAAGATCTTTACATCTAGATGGGTTGTGATTGTCATTAGGGGCGTGATGATGAAGTAGTATGATAGCTAAGGGAACTCCTCAACGGTTAACAGTAGCTACCTGATGTTTGGGCTTGATTATTTTGTATTACTGAGAATTTTACACCTAAATGAGGTATAATTGTCATTTGGGGCCAGATGATGAAGGAGTATGATAGTTAAGGGAACTCCCTCAACGGCTGACAGTATCGACTTGGTGTTTGGGCTTTAATAATTTGTTATGATGACAACTTTGCACCCATGTGGGATATACGTAGTATACTGGGTGTACACAGGGTTACGGGATAAGTCGACCTAAATCATTTACGTGGTGGTAGTATCCATTATTCCTAACCGATTTGATTCAGGAACCCCATATCCCCAACTTAATTGTTCTCAAGATATCAGCCTTTGTATTACTTCTATCAAAATTCCAGATTTTGGTTGATTGCACCCACAGAACATTATGCACCCATCTCTTTTGTTGTGTTTCGATGTTGTTCTATTTTTTGCTGCAAGCGACTGCCTCGTTGGCCGAGTGGTCGCAAGTGGGACTGCCGGGCAAGGGGTTCTCGGGTTCGATTCCCGGGTCGGGAAAAGTATTACTGGGTTTTTTAAAATCTCAGTAGTAGCATGGAGTCTGGAAATGTGCCCAGTACATGACAATAGGCTCTATTACATGGGACTTATAACATAGATAGTGAAAAGTGCCGAAATGTGCACCTCTGCCTAATCCTTCGGGGATAATTAGGCGTGATTTTATGTTATGTTACTAAACTAAAAAGCAAGAAAATAAAAACAAAAACTGTGTTTAAAAAACCGAGTTCGAAAACTACTGATAGGTTATCCACCCATCGATATGTTAGAAGTCGGTGCCTGTTTTTGTGTTTGTAATTAGTTCGGGATTTTTGCACCAAAACCAAAACTGTTGAATATCTCAGAAACTAGCCACTTTCGGACTAAGGACCTCAGGGCTCATTTTGCAGGAAATTAACTGTATTACCTCCCGAGAGAAATAGCTCAGTCTGTAGATTTTGCTATTAAAGTCCCGTAAAAAAATATAAGTAAGTCTTGTATCATGTTTCATGCAGTATACTACAATTAATGGTAAATTATTATTTTAGAAAGGTAAGTAGATATATGGGGCGGCGGAAAAAGGTGGCCTACACTCATAAACAATATAAATCCGGCACTGGAGCAGACCATATTCCCCCCTTAAAAAATAAGCCTTCTGAGCGCCAATGTCACATATACGTGACAAGTGAAAAGTGTCCCTGGACGCCAACCACACAAATACATAACAGAAAAAGCGGAACCGGAAACAGGAAATCAACAATTTGATTTCCTATTTAAATCCCTATTTCTTTCGTAGAAAGCGCGGAATTTGTGGCTTGGCGCTGAGGGCAGGTTCATGTGTTTTTGCTTTGGCGTTAAAAAGTTTAAAGACCTTTTTATTTTACCTCTCGATTATCTTCTTCTAGCGACGTGAACTACCGCGCCAACATCTGGGCTCTGAAGCAGGTGGGTTGCACGCATATCCTGGCGACGACTGCCACCGGCTCGCTGGTAGAGGAGTACAAGCCTGGCGACCTCGTCATATTGAACGATTTTATTGACAGGTGAGATTCTATTCTCCAAAAGAATGACATAAGTCCTCAATTAATGAACAGATAAAAAAAATTCAACTCTAATATCAGCCATCCATTTCTCCGAGTTATATGTACTCTCTAAAGTTATTCACACACCACTGACAAACGGTGAAGGAAAACATCGTGAGGGAATCTGGACTTATCATTTCTAATTATAAGTTTGAAATCGCCAACTCGCATTGAGCACGTGGTGAAGTGCACACGTGAGAAGAGGCTTTGCTCTGCTGTGGGCTATATAGACTGTTGATGATGTTGATTTTTTTATTTATTTAATTGTTCGCTAGTTCTAGACTAGACTAGGAGCTTCTTTTAGCTGGGGCTTTTGGCATTGTACCGACTTGCCACCATGTAGCTACGCCACCGCAGAAAGATGAAGAAGTGTATGAAACCAATGAGATGATAATGATGAATAAATAAAGAAAAGACGGCGATCGAGTAGCACCGCTATCTAATAAACTTGAACCCTTTGAACTGATAACTCCTATCCACCTGAAAATTATGAAAAATTATTATGTTCGTAGAGAATACAGGCCAGCTGTAAACTGTCATACATAATGGGCCCTTTAAACTGTCAAACACCAAGCGGTCACCGGTGACCGCAACTTATTGTTCTAAGATAATTGTGTCTACAAAACCGGTACTCGACGAGTTAAAAGGCCCGTAGTATCTACCATTGTATCTATCTTTAACAACATATCTTGTAACGCCTCTGGTGTTCCATGTGCCCATGGGCGACGATGATTGCTTATCATCAGGTGACCCGTCTGCTCGTTTACTGACTTATCGCATAAAAAAATCTCCTTTTGCAGAACTTGGGGTCGTAAGTGCACGTTCTACGACCGCACAGAAGGTGGTCCTAAAGGCGTTTGTCACTTACCTATGCGGCCAGCCTTCTGTGAGCGCGCTAGAAACGCCATGATCACTGCAGCTAAGGCCAGAGGTTATAGTCACCATGAAACTGGCACCGCTGTCGTTATACAGGGCCCTAGGTATGGAAAACTATTGTTTTTGATATTTTTTTTACTGCAGGTATCCTATAATAGTCATTATGATTAGTTATAAAACCTAAAAACAGATAACTGCATCTTTAGAAGGTGATGGAAGGCCCAATGTGGAAAGCAAATCTGGATAAAACTCGTGCTGAACTTACAACTAGTAGGGAAAGAGTCAAGTTACTTTATAGTTTTTCTTTTGCAGATTTTCTAGCAGAGCTGAGAGCCTCATGCACCGTCAATGGGGCGGTCATCTTGTCAACATGACTACAGTCCCAGAGGTAACTAATTATTTATTTCAATTAAATAGTATATCTCAATTATTTTTCTGTAAACAATACCAGTGGCGCCCAACGCCTTCAATACATTTTTATAAATCTGGACCAACAACAACAAAGCAGTAATCAAAACTGCGAATGAATGCATGTATGTGATTCCCAGGTGGTGCTAGCGAAGGAAGCAGGACTGAGCTACGCCGCAGTCGCTCTAGTCACAGACTACGATTGCTGGAGGGAGAACGAAACATCTGTAAGTATACTACTACAAGACAAATGCGCCATTTGCGTGTTTAACTGCTTTGAACTTCGAATTTTATCTGTAATTAGTTGACATTTGACTTCATCCCCCGAAACAGCAAATCAATAGGACAACTAAGATTTTTTAAACACCAAAGAAACACATAACATAACGCCTTTTATCCCCGAAGGGGTAGGCAGAGGTGCACATTATGCCACTGTACAATGTAACACCCACTTTTCACTATTTATGTTATGAGTCCCATGTAATAGGGGGTGAGCCTATTGCCATATACCGGGCACAATTCCAGACTCCGTGCTACTACTGAGAATTTTTTAAAAACCCAGTAATACTTTGCCCGACCCGGGAATCGAACCCGAGACCCCTTGCCCGGCAGTCGCACTTGCGACCACTCGGCCAACGAGGCAGTC